ACCCTATAACTTACCCTAAGCATTCGACATCAAAGCCTTGGGACACAGATTGTGAATTTGTTTCTTTAATATAAGAACAACTTGCTCTCCTTCGATTTTATTTTTGTTTAACTTTATTTAGAATATAAGTAAAATCTTAATTATCAGTATGTCTTACCTCCAACTACTGGAGCTAATGCCTATCTGGGACAGTGAGAAAAAAGAGACCAAAAAGTTGAGAAGATTATAGCTCATATTTGAAGGATTAATTCACTTACTTACTTATTACATTGAAGGAGACTGAATCCTAGTACCTGGCTTTGTGCTTGGAAAAGCACGATATTGTTTCCACCATGACTTGTTTGGCCACTCCAACCCTGAAGTTTGTCCAGTTTTCCTCAGATTGTGATGCCAGAATTTTCAGAATCATTGCTTGGGAACATTTTGAAATGAAGCTTGCTAATAAAATTGGAGTCTTTGGTATTCTCTGAGCTTGATTGTTCATTTGCCAACGTTTCATTACCCAACTAGATAACATCAGTGCTCTTCTCTTGAAAAAATTAATCTTCCTCCTTTTCACACCATATAAAACTGACCAAGCCTGTTTTATCATTTATATCTAAAACAGTTGATCACATAAATATCTTTCCAACTTGGAGTAACTTAGAATTGGGAGCTAGAATAGTCTACTGAGTAATACAAGAAATATTTTTTAAAACCCACAGGAAGGTTAGGAATTTTAACATCACTTTCTTTGTTTTGATTTTTTTCTTTGATCCATCAATTGAGCACAAAAAAGTATATGGAGGCAAAAACGTATGCCTGAAGGTACTATAATGATAGAGCCATTCATTTAAAAATCAATACTTTGGAGCCTTTTTCCCAAACTATTTGTCTGATCAGGCAGCTGAGCAACGCCAAAGTTATTCCACAAGAGCATAATACATCAACATTATCTTTTTAGGTATAATTCTTGTTAAAAAAAAGTTTGAAGTAAGATTAATACAAACCAATGTAAAGTTAAAAAAAGAAATCAAAGAGAAAGGTAAAAGTGCAAGAAAGACAAAAAAGGCAAAAAAGGAAAGAAAAAAAGATAACAAAGTAGCTTCCAACCTTCTTTATAGCTCCCCTAAGTACAATAATAAATTTACCTCTTCCTATATGGTTATAAAATAACTCTTCTTTCTATAATCTATGCTGTCTAATCTCAAAACTCTTTTCTTCTATTTACCCAAAAAGTCTATAAGGGGTTTGCAGTAATAGTAAAGATATGTATTGTCTTTTCTCTAATTAAAGAAGTCAGTATGACCATCTCAGCAAGTTCCATTTCAGCTCACCAACCATTCCTCCATTGTGGGTAATGCCAAATCTTTCTATCTTTGGGCATAAAATAATCTTGCCACAGCTTTCTTGTATGAAAACAAAGTCCTATAACTTTTTTCCATTGCTTGTCCATCAATCCCAAAAGAAAACCTCTGGTCTCAATGATAAATTAATCTTTACAATCCTCTGAATCAGTATATGTATTTGAATCCAAATTTTCAGCTTTTTTACACATCCGTTAAACGTAATAAAATGTCCCTTTCTTGTTCACATTTCCTACATTTGAACTGTCTTTATACATTCTAGATAGTTTCTCTGTATACCAACAGTACATCATTTTATAAAAATTCTCTTTAAGATGATAACATAGTTTAATTTTTAAACCTTTTAATCACATTTTTCCATTGTTCCATGTGGATAAAATAAAATTAAACCCAAATTTTAGTTCACTATCATACATTCTTGCACTTATTCTTCTGTTTCAAATTTCAGTAAAGGCTTATACATTTTAGCAATTACATGTTCATCAGTGTTACATAATTCTATTTCAAACTCAGTCTTAACAATGTTCAAAACTACATTTGTGTGTCTACTTTAAATCTTTCTAATAATTGTAAATGAGAATACCATTGACAACTATATCCCTCTGCCACTAGTTCTCATGATTTTATTTTATACTCCCCTTGACAAAATTTTAGTATCTCGTTATAAGTTAGCCATTTGTGTTTGCCTATTACTTCTTGTCTATAAAATGTTTATTGTGCAGAAAGCTACAAAGATATTTTGGGGTAAAACCTGGGTTTATATATATTCAATACTCTCAATATAGTACATCTAATATAATGATTTTTAAAATCTACATTAACCTTGACTTGATGTACCATGCCACCCAAATATCAGGTCATGTCCTTCTAACTCCAAAAGCCTTCTATTTCTCAGAAGCACCCACTCTTTCATCTATTCTAAACAAAACAACAAGCTGCAAAATACAACTTCAAATCAGGTGAACCCAATCCTTCTCTTTTCTTTGCATCTTTTAATGCCTTATTCTTACTTAATTCATGTTTTTTCCCCAACGCACAAATTTAGATATATCCTTCTGTCACTATTTAAATGGTGGATCAGTTGTCAAAACAGATATTGTATGAAACAAAACATCATTCTAGGCAAGACATTCATTTTTGTCACAGAAATTCTCTCCTGCAACGACAGTTGTAATTTCTCTCATTTTAACATACCATTTTAAACTTAATTCCATGTCTTAACATAGTTATTTTGAAATAACACACAATTCATATCTGTTATAGTGATGTCCAAATAGTTTGCCTTCTTCTCAGTCTTAAAGCCATTTTATTCATCAATATTGTTTTATTTTCTATTTTTAAATTTTTGTTAATATCTTCTGCTTATTAATCTTTAAACATGCTAATGTATCATTTTTATTTGCCCATTCATATTTCAACTCCCTTTAAAGGATCTTCTAGAACAAACATAGTCACCTGCTAAAGTTGTTTATAAGTTTCTTTTTTAATCTTTACTCCCACAATCCTCACATATTGGCTTATATCTCTATTCATTACCAAAATAAAGAAGAGAGGAGGAAATGGGCAGCCCTGCCTTCTTCTTTTTTGTATTTCAGTGAGTTTTGTTAGATCCCCATTAACAATCCTTTGTAGCTTCTGACAAATGCAAATCTTACCAATTTTATAAAGTTTTCTACAAATCTCATACCCTCCTTGAACAAGAAAGCCCAGTTTAAATTGTCAAAGGCCTTCTCTGCATCATACATTAGCATTACCAAGCAAGAATCATAAAAAAGAGAAATCTTATATACTTTCTTTCTCCATCTTTCTCCTGCTATGCTGTGGTACTTGAATTTATAACTATTTTAGTTTTTTCTTGGTTTTGTTTAAAACAAACAAAAAGTCCGTAAGAGGTTCCTGTTCCTTTTTCAAAAAGAATGAGCATTTATTGTATTACTGTGTCTGCTGAACTATAAGCACTGCGCTGCTAGCCACTATTTGCATACCAGAAAACCTGTGCCTGTTTGTGTGCATGCATGTACACAGATATACAGTGTGGTAGTGTAATAAAGAAACAGGACAGTGACGTAAAGAAGTCTGTTTTATCTATTACATTTCTGAAAAAGGCACTAATATATGCCACATTAATGTTCCTGTCTTAAAAAATATGTTCCATTGTAGACCTGGCTTGTAAGAGCATACTGAATAATTTCCAGTGTAAAGCTGAGCAATAAAAAGTATATTTTATTCTTGTAACTGCAGAGATTTATCTTATCTTCCTTCCATTGATACTTGTGAATATTGCTCAGGGGGACTTGCTTTGTTTTTGACATAATGGAATGGGGAGGAGTGCTAGAGGAGTTAAGTCAAAATATTTAGTTGCATTTTTCATTTTTGTTTTTACCTTACAGGATGTAACACATCCATAGTTAGATGGCAATCAGATCAGTATTTATATCAAAAGAGCTGTGTTTGATGAGAACCAAAGTCCCATACAATAAACCAACTAGTTACCACTGGTGAGCAACGAGCAAAATGGGAACAGAATAGAAAGCTTCTGTTGCATTTCCAAACAGTCCTACTCTTTCTAATATTGTGGGTAATGTACACTCAACATGATTTGTAACCATGGCTAGCCTTAACATCAGTGAATATGTTTAATCCTCTTTTAAAGTGATCGAAGTTGGTAACTGTCATGACTTCTGGTACTAATGCATTCCACACATTATTGTGAGAAGAAATATATTCTTTTATGTATTCCAACCCTACCAACACTACCA